AAGAGCTCTGTAGCTGCCCTACAGCTCGAGTTAAGTTGAGACAACCAAATCACACAATCAAGTGTAGTACTCATGCAAAGAGGTTTTTCGATCATAACTTCTTACATATCCAGCGCTGAACATAATCCCGCCACATGTAGACGCGCATCATCATTCTGAATCCGAAAGCTGTGCTTGCCATCTCTGTAGCTTGCGTATACTCGAGTTAAGTTGAGAAAACCGACAGCACCTACCAACATAGCACTCGCCAACCGATCTCGCCACAGTGCTTTTCGATAGTAATATTCACCCGATCGAGCTGACATCAAGATGGCGACTCGCACTAAGATCATAGATCACGGGAAAAATTCTAAGGCTCTAACGAATGTTTAAATTTTGAGAACATAATTTTCAACTGAGCAAAAGTCACCAAAAGTTCCGTCGAGATTTTTCGAGCCAACTAGCCCGCCAGTGCGTCCGAATTACTCTTAAGCTTCCAGCTGCTAGCTTAGGGAAGCTCTACGAGTCATTTCGGTGGCACGAGCTCGTGCGAGCTACTTTTGCGCGCTCCTTTAAGGACGTTCGCGCGCCTGCCAGGGCCACATGGCGTGTCAAATAATACCATGCGGGACACATGCGCGCGCGCCGTCGTCGTCTTCGTCGTCGTCGTCGTCGTCGTCGCCGTCGTCGTCGTCGTCGTCGACGTCGTCGTCGTCTTCGTCGTCGTCGTCGGCGTCGTTGTTGTCGTCGTCGTCGGTGTCGTTCTCGTCGTTGTCATCGTCGAGAACATTGAAAACGTCGTCGGTATCGTCGCAGTCGGTGTCGGCGGCGCCGTCGTCTTCGATGTCGCTGTCGTCGGCGTCGGTGTTGTGGCGAAGTGCCATCTGGTACTGCCACGGTCTTGCCTGGAGGTCTTGCGACCAAGTTGCGGGTGGGAGGGTGGGATGTTTGCACGAGCAGTGGAGAGGACAGTTTCAAGACAGTCAAGATTAGTTTAATGCGTAGAGCTTCCCTTAGCTAGTTGCTGGAAGCTTAAGAGTAATTCTGGAGCGCTGGAGAGCTAGTGTGCAAGGAAAATCTCGACGGACCTTTTGATTAATTTGGTCGGCTGCATTTTTTTCCTCGAAATTCAACAAGTCGTTAGAGCTCTAGTATTCTGACCATATTCGATCTTATTCCTGCTCGCCGTCTTAATCTCAGCTCGATCGGGTTACTGCCAAAAAGCGTTGGGGCGGGATCGGCCGCCGTTTCGAGTCATCTTGACACGCGTTGACGGTTTTCTGTACTTAACTCGAGATTTAGGAGAGCTGCAGAGCTGTTACTTACAGAAAGCGATTCATAATCATCAGGCGCGTTCGTCTGTCGCATCTAGATGTCTGAACTCAGTCTGCTACTCGAGCTAGGTCCGCGAAATTATTCGTATCTTTCGAGTCATCTTGACAGGTGCCGACGGTTTTCTGTACTCAACTCGGGCTGTAGGAGAGCTACAGAGCGTCCGCGCACGAATAGATCCAGAATGATCTGGCGCGTTCGTCTGTTGCATCGAGAGGTCTGAACTCGGTCTGCTACTCGAGCTAGGTCCGCGAAACTATTCGTATTCTTCGACTTCTCTTTACAGACGTTGTTGGTGTTCTGTGCTTAACTCGAGCTGTAGGAGAGCTACAGATCTGGTGCGCACACAAGTCGATGAAAAATCAGCAGGCGCGTTCGTCTGTTGCATCTACAGCTCTGAACTCTCTTCTACTCGAGTTAGGTCCGCAAGCCTATTTATATTTGGCCGATTTTTTAGAAATGATTGTGAATTTCTTCACTTAGCTCGAGCTGCAGATTAGCTTGAGAGATCTCCCGCGCAGAATTCATAAGAAAATTATGATGCGCGCTAGTCTGAAGTATGTAGACGCTTGGCTTGGGTCTGTTATGAGCGCAGACGCCGAACAACTAGTCATACTCTGCTATTGTCCTTGATGGAATTCGTTTCCTGGGCTGAACTCGAGGTGCAGATGAGCTTGAGAGCTCCGAGGCATTGAAATGGGAAGAGGACGATCATGCGCGCTATTTGAAAGTATCTAGACATCCGCGCTCAGTCTGCTATTAGCGCTAGGGCTGAACACCGATTCGTACTCTGCTACTTTCTTGGAAATGATACTGTTTTTCTTGGTTTTACTTGTGCTGCAGATGAGCTACAGAGCTGGTCAGCACAGCAATAGGAAGGGAATCGTGAGGGGCAGTAGTGACATGTATCTAGAAGCCTGAGATCAGTGTGCTATCAGCGCTCGGGCTGAAAAACTATTCGTTCTCTTCCAATTCTTTGGACATAATATATGGCAAGGAAGCTCTACGAGTCTCCTGGCGGTAAGAAAGGTTGACGGTTTACCGCCGGCGCCCAGTTCGGGCGCGGGGTGGAGCTAGTAACTCGTAGAGCTTCCCTTAGCTCGTTGCTGGAAGCTCAAGAGTACCTTGTGTGCGCGCGCACCAGCCCACCTCCACCGCTTCACGCTCCCTCCAGTTTCTCGCCCGAGGTCGCAGCGTGTCCGGGGGCGCACCCGGCGCGCGTCCACGCGTGCCTTCACGCGTGCAGGCACGCGTGGACGAGTGCCTGGAAGTGCTTCAGAAGCCCTCCAGGGGAGCCCCCTGGTTCCGTGAAGAAGCTTTCCAGAGTATCCAGAGCTTCGCAGGAGGGCTGTCACGCGCCCCCAGAGCTTCGTCACGCGCAGTAGCTCGTAGAGCTCTTCGGCATCGATGAGCTGGAGAAATACCTCGTAGAGCTCTTCGTTATACCTCGTAGAGCTCTTCGTTGTCGATGAGCTAGAGGAATTCCGGCGCGGGGTGGAGCTAGTTGGTCGACCCGACCAGAAAGGACAATGTGGTAACTTGGGCTCGGTTTTGCTATGATTTGAACAAATTGACCATTTATTTTGAGAAACCAGATGCTTGCGCCAAGCATGCGCATATAGGCTTTGTTCTCAGAGCAGCTCAGCTGCTGTGGAGGAGTTTTACTATGGGTTCACTTCCAGGAACCGACCTGGTATTGACATCGAAAAATACAGAAATTAAGATTTCAAGAACATTTTCTACAAAGTTGTCTGCTCCGATTCTGAGCACTCCAGTGCGTGCGAGGAGCTCTACGAGGTTCCCGGCGGTGACCAGGTTGATGGTTTACCGCCGGCGCCATCGACGAGCTAGAGGAATTCCGGCGCCAGATGGAGCTAGTAACTCGTAGAGCTTCCCTTAGCTAGTTGCTGGAAGCTTAAGAGTAATTCCGGGGCGCTGGAGAGCTAGTTGGCAAGAAAAATCTCGACGGACCTTTTGATGACTTTTGGTCGGTTGAAAATCTTGTTCTCGAAATCAACCATTCGTTTGAGCTGTAGTATTTTTCCCGTGATATTCGATCTTATTCCCGCTCGCCGTCTTAATCTCAGCTCGATCGGGTAGATATTACTGCCAAAAGCACACGGGCGGGATCGGCCGTTTGGGGTCATCTTGACATGCGTTGTCGTTTTTTTTTGTATTTAACTCGAGCTGTGGGAGAGTTACAGAGGTGATACTTACAGAAACCGATTCAGAATGATCAGGCGCGTTCGTCTGTTGCATCCAGAGGTCTGAAGTCGGTCGGCTGCCCGAGCTAGATCCGCGAAGCTATTCGTATTGTTCGAGTCATCTTGAGAGGTGCTGTCGGTTTTCTGTACTTAACTCGGGCTGTAGGGGGGCTACAGGGCTGGTAATTGCAGAAACCGATTCGGAGACATCAGGCGCGTGCGCCTGTTGCATGGAGAGGTCTGAAATCGGTCTGCTACTCGAGCTAGGTCCGCAAACCTATTCGTATCGCTCGGGTTATCTCGACAGGAACTGTCGGTTTTCTGTACTTAACTCGAGCTCTAGGGGAGCTGATACGCACAGAAACCGATGCAGAATAATCAGGCGCGTCCGTCTGTTGCATCCAGAGGTCTGCACTCGGTCTGCTACTCGAGCTAGGTCCGCGAAACTATTCGTATCGTTCGAGTCATCTTGAGAGGTGCTGTCCGTTTTCGCACGTAACTCGGGCTGTAGGAGAGCTACAGAGCTCATACGCACAGAAACTGATTCGGAATCATCAGGCGCGTTCGTCTGTTGCATCTTGAGGTCTGAACTGGGTCTGCTACTCGGGCTAGGTTCGCAAAATTATTCGTATTCTTCGAGTCATCTTGACAGATGTTGTCCATTTTCTGTATTCAATTCGGGCCGTAGGAGAGCTACAGAGCTGGTGCGCACAGAAACTGATGCAGAAGCATTGGGAGCGTTCGTCTGTTGCATCGAGAGGTCTGAACTCGGTCTGCTACCCGAGCTAGGTTCACAAAACTATTCGTATTCGACCGACAATTGTTTCCAAATTATGGTGAATTTCTTCACTGAAATCGAGCTGCAGAGCAGCTCGAGAGCTCTTCGGCCGAAAGATCAGAAGGTCATCGTGAGGCGCGAAGCATCTAGACGCTTGGTTTGGGTCTGTCGTGAGCGCAGACGCCAAACACGGATTCGTACTCTGCTATTTTCTCCCTAATGGTATTTACTACACGCTGCAGATGAGCTATGGAACTGTTCAGCACAGCAATGGGATATCACTAGACGCCTGAGATCAGTCTGCTATCAGCGCTCGGGCTGAAAAACTATTCGTTCTCTGCTAATTCTGTGGACATAGTATATGGTCAGGAAGCTCTACGAGTCCCCCGGCTCAAGCTCTACGTGTCGGCTCAAGTAACGTGTACACACATACTTGTCCCCGATACCGTACCTCGGGCTTAGACTGGCCGATCGCGGAAGTTGCTGGCGCGAGCCGGCGGCGGAAGCGTGACGAGCCTGGGACGCCCGGGGTTTTTCTTCACTGCCTCGAGTGGTGCTCGCAAGTCTTGGTTCTTTCAGATCTGCCTTGAGTGGATTGCATTTTGATCAATTTGCTGTGTATCATTGTTGTGATATCTCAGGTGTTCTCACACATCTCCCCTCAGTGGTTCGCCATATACCTACCTTTCGTGATCTTGTTGTGCCAGATGCCTCATGTGCGGAGTCTCGCATCCAGGTGTAGACGTCGGGCTCGGGCTTGCCAACTTCGCTGGGTTCGACAGGATTGTCCTCTTCCGTTGGTGCTCGATGGCCTAGTCGCCCGTGACACGGTATTGCATGAAGAGTTGGATACTAAGGCTAATGAGCGTGACACGGTATTGCATGAAGAGTTGGATACTAAGGCTAATGAGTTGTTGACTGCATTACTCCATCCCTCCGATAGCTGCGCAATAGTTGATTCAGTTGTAGCTCCCGACACGTCTCCTTCTAGGAGTGTTCGGGTCGAGGATTGTGTTCCAGAGGTCCGCTACGCGTCTTCAATGGAGGATGGGACCCAGGTTGACTGCCCAAGGAAGCTTTCAGTTCGTACGAGAGTTGCTTCAGTTTCAGTCCATGGAAGTGGCATCGTTGCCAGTGGTATGGAGTCGAGGGCGCTTGGATGGTGGAAATCTCGACAGAGTATTGCTGGGGAGTGGCTCGGTACTGCATCTGTCTCGCGTTCGCTTTCTTCCCCATCGCGTGATGTTCAGAGTTCTTCTTATGGGAGTGATGATAATGTTCCTGCGGTCCGCTACACACCTTCATATGACCCTATCGCCGAAAATGAGCGTGAAGTGTACGATTCAAGTTCTGATGATGTCGACGCCATGGACGATTGGCAAATTGGCGAGAGATACGCGGCTGAGATCAAAGACGTTTTGGCTCATATCGAGGTCTCTGTGGAAGTTCTAGGTAATGATGTTCTTCGGGATAAACATCTTGCCACTCAGCTGGAGATAGATAAGACTGGTGAATATCTTGCCATTGGAACTCGAGGTATGGAAGCTCACGATCTGCTGGATGAGCTTTATAGGCTGCATAAGGCGAAGGATGATCGTTGGCATGGGTTTATTTCACGGCTAAGGGATGATGAATTCTTGACAAAGGCCGAGCGGCAAAACTGCGTGAGTAATCTGTTGATGGTCCATGATTTGAAGTTGGAAGACATTCGGGAACACATTAAGACAGGGACGGAGTTTGAGTATGGACGCGAGAAAGAAATAGAGGAATTGAGCTTGTGTATGGATGCGTGGAAAGATTTTCTTATGAGTATGTCTGGCTCCTTCTAGTCCCCTCCATTGTGTGATAACTTGTCATGTCTTGAACTTGGTCTTGGGCGTGCCGTGTTTCGTTGAGTGGTCTCCCCTTCGTGTCACAACGCGACGCCCGCGGATCCTTTCAGAGTGTATGACAGTGTTTTGAATTCTCTGCAGTTTCAGAATATACAACAGTTTCCTCCCTACATCCCGAACGCCGAGCAATAGGGTAATCATGTATACACTTTCTACCCTATCGATTGTGCGTTCTCACAGGTTGTTCTATGGATGACACAAACTTGATATTTGCAGTTTCTTCTCTCAATGCCAGCTCCTACGGTTCTCAATGCCAGCGCCTTTGATTCGTCTCAATGCCAGCTCCTACGATTCTTCTTAATGCCTGCTCCTACGGTTCTTCTCATTGCCTGCTCCTACGATTCTGCATTTATTGTGTTTCTGCGTTTGTATTTGTATTTCATGAATGTGATTGGTTATTCAGTACAGCTTCGCTGATATTAGCAGCTTCGCTGCCTCTGAGTTCCCTTGAGATCATGTTTTATAAGTGCTTCCGCACACACGTTTGGTGTGTCCGTCGACGCCTGACCTTGTGCTTGCTCGTGGCCCTAGGGCCAGTCCGAGCCTCGCAAAGCCGCAAAGCAAAAAGAAAGGTTGACGGTTTACCGCCGGCGCCCAGTTGGCCGACCCGGCCAGAAAGGACAATGTGATAATTTTGGGTCGGCTTTGCGATTATTTGAAAGATATTTGACAGTTCATTTTGAACAAGCAGATTTTTCGCACCTGTAGTGGGTTATGTCGCGTGCGCCTTTAAACTTCTCAGGCCTGTAGCTGTAGTATTTCTTCTATCAACTCTATCAAAGCAATTGGAGGAACGGACGTTCGATAAAAACAGGAAAACGTGTTTTTTTCGATGTTTTCGGCTCACGCTTAAGAAGCTCCCTTCATGTGTTTCGAGGAGCGCCGTGCGAGAAAAGAGCTCTACGAGTTTCCCGGTGGTAACCAGGTTGACGGTTTGCCGCCGGTTCCCAGTTCCCGCGCGGGGTGCAGCTAGTACCTCGTAGAGCTCGTCGGCATCGATGAGGTAGAGGAATTCCGGCGCGGGGCGGAACTAGTTGGTCGACTCGGCCAGAAAGGACAATGTGTTAACTTCGGTCAGTTTTGCGAAGATTTGAAGGATATTCGACCATTTATTTTAAGAAAGCAGTTTTTACGCTGAGCACTCGCATATAAGCTTCATTCCGATTTTATTATGAGTTGAGCCCCCGGAGCCGAGCTAACAGGAAATTCGAAAAATCCCCAAATCAAGATTTTAAGAACATCTTTTTTTATTACTCTACCTCGATGCTGAGCACTCTTACCGGTGCAAGGAGCTCTACGAGGTTCCCGGCGGTGACCAGGTTGCGGCTCAAGATCGTTTCGGCTCAAGAACGTCTCTGCCTGGGTAACCTCCAGACGTTCTAGCGGGCCTTTGCCTCGGGGAGTGAGACTGGGCGAAGGGCCGCGAGGCCTGGGCGATCCTGGGATCCCCCGAGGTTTGTGTCTGCTTACATTACATGTCGTGTATTGTACGCTGTATTCTTCTTCGTGGTATTGAGATAGTTTCTTGTGTGCTGCACTGCTGTCTATTGTCTGTCTGCATACATTACCTCTCTGTGTATTGCACGAGTTATTCTTCTTATTGATATTGTGGCAGTTTCTTGTGTGCTGGATTGTTGTTGACACAACGTCGTACGACAGCCCTGAGGCCCAGCTGGCCTTGAGGAGAGAGATCGGCCTTGAACATTGGGGTGAAAGTACTGAGGAGTGGTTTCGTCGTCAAAAGAATCTGGACATACCCACTGAGGATTATCAGGACGATAGGTCAACTTTGATTATCTTGAGGAATACCAACCTTGGGATCAGAAAGACTTGCAGGCACTTGAGGCAGCATCAAACAAGCGTCAACCTGAGGACGATAAGAACTGGTTAGATAAATACGGTTTGGACGGTAACATTCTTGAGAATATGACTCATGTTGCTGCAGCGGCGGATGCCGAAATGACGGGGGAGAGTGAGATTCGATCTAAACGTGCACGTGGCCCAGAGATAGAGCAGGAGAGGACTTTGATGTTAGCACAGGAGAAGGATCCTTTCAAACAGATGATGATGAAGCATGTTTGGAAAACTGAGGACGCACATGAGGATCTCATCCATGTTATTCAGTCGACTAAGACGAACATTAAACGAGTTGATGACACACTTAAGTTGCATACGGAGCGCATGGACAAATCAGATGCACGGACTGATATTCTGGAGAAACAGGTTAAACAAATATTGGCTGGATCTCCTGCCGCATCGGTTTCGACAAGTGTGGGCCCTGGCGGGTCCTCTGGTGGTGGTGTAGGTTCGGCTCCTCGTGTGCAACAGGATCGACCGAGCCAGTTTACGCCAACTTATCTTGAACTCAAAGGGTGGGTTACGGATTGGTCAAACCAAGTAAATCGTGGAAATCAAATGACACCCTGGGCGGATGCATCACAACTCATATCGAATATGATAGGAACACTTCAGGGGGAGGAGAGGAATGCATATGACAAAGATAAAACTGAACGATTAAACGGAGGTAGATATAGGTACGGAAGCGTGAAGATCGGTTTCAAAGAAGGGACATCACGGGACACCCTCTGGATAATTAAGAAATGGACGGATATGGTATGTAAGGACCCAGCCGACCGTCTTGCTCCGCCTCCAGGCTATACGTATCCAGATGCTGATGTTCTCATTCAAAATATGGACACGCCTATTGATCCCAGAAAGATCCGTACGCTGGTGGGGTGTCCCCCCTGGAAGCGTGATCATGTGAAAGCGGTTGCTCGTTTCTGTGGGACTTGGCGTAGTATGACATCGGCTCATGTTCAAATCGAGATCCGTGGGGAAATTGGGCCACCGAGGAGTCAGATTTGGCCTCAAGCTGTTCCGAATCTCAGGCCCGTTTGTTTTGCGACATCTACGAACACTACTGGGGCTTGGGTTCTGCATGCTGCTGTATGGGCGCGTATTGTATCTATTTATCCTGCGCTGACGGTCCCCATGAATGAGATACTTCAGGAGGTGAATCGTAGGCAGTGACGTTTACGATGCCTCATCCGAGGCATACGTTTGGGGAGCTGGAACCTGAACAGAGCAGGTGAGGTTCATTTTAGATGTGCTGAGATTCTTCATCATATGAGGGCATGTGGTGGGCTCTTTGCATGTCAGGAAACTCAATACCTTGTGCGTGGTGAATTTGAACGCTTGGGGTGGCGCATCAAAACTAGTTCGTGTAGTAAAGCAGCTCCCATCTTCGACAGATCTTGGGCGGCTGCAGTCCGTATGTTCTTCACATGTTTCACGAGGTTCGTTATCGGCGTCTTTGGGTCAGAAAAGTCACCACGTATTATTGTTTCAGCGTATTTGCCAGACCCTCATGTGGAGGAGTGTGAAGAGATAGCTGCGGAGGTCTATGAGCAGATCACTCGTGCTCGTAATGTACTCCGTAAGTTTCCTCAGGCCAGCTTTTGTGTTCTGCTCGATGCAAATGTGGAGATTCCGCCTGGATGCAAGTTTACGTATAATGGGGAGGTGCATGAGGCTACTGGTGAGGAGGGTACTCGTATGGAAAGTAGGTGGGAGAGAGGAGGAGACGGGACACAGCAGATTGAGAGGAGGAGTCGGAGGAGGAGGCTGAAGGAGCTGCTCTTAGAGTTCATGGAATTGCGTGGACTGAAGGCCGCCAACACTTTCAATACTAGGAGGCATACTTGGGAGTCGTGTGGGGAGAACAAGTTTCTGACTTCGAAGAGGGTCCTGGATTACCTACTTGTCCCTTATCGTTGGGAGTTCTCGGACCTGGAGGTGAAATGGTGTTTCAAGAGGGGTGGTAAGAAGCAGGTCAGTAGATTATCAGATCACGCTATCATCACGGCGAGTTTCACGGACCCTGGGAAAGTGATTGTTCGTCGCCCTGACCCCCAGCCTGGTCAAAGTTTTAGGCCGTCCCCGGTCGGGTACAAGTGTGCGACTTGAGCTGATGAGCATCAGGCTCGGCAGCATGTGGATATGAATCTAGGCGGTGCGGCCTTCGCTCGTTCGAGGTGTCCGTCTGTGCTCAGTCCAGAGTGCTTGCAGAGTACTATGCTGGAGGCGTGCGTGTCGCCCGCGGTGGACTTCTCCACCGCGAGGGCGGGGGGGCCAAAGGAGCCGTCCAGGCCGGTGCAGCTCACTAGGGCCGAGGAGGAGGTTGAGATGTGTCCGAAGGAGGAGGTGGAGAGGTTGAGGAGGTTAAAGAATGAGGCCAATCGTCTACGCAGAAGTTTTCGACGTGGTATGATTATGTGCAGATGCCCCCCAACAAAACGAAAGGTCAGATATACTATCAAACATTTAGTGGTGGATGGAAGGGAGACGGAGGACCGTGAGGAGTTGGAGGAGCTCGGCAAGTTCGTTCGTTTCAAGGTGTCGTCCGAGGAGGTACGCAATTCCACTAACACTATGATGGGGGAGATCAGGATGAGGGCCGAACATGAGGTACGATCCACATCAGTTGTGGGAATTAGTATGGCGCTGCTTCTCAGAGCACGGGCTCGACTGAAGACCCAGAGGGCTACTTGGCCAGATGGGATGCCGTGCGAGATCCTCAGGAGTTTGCCGTGGTGTACTCTCAGATCGATCCAGAAGTTGTTCGATAAAATCATCAAGCTCATGACTCCTTATCCGCATTCGTGGCGTCAGATCCTCATCTCTTTTATGCCCAGGATCCCAGGGATTACTAACTTAAAAGACGGTCGTTTGCTGTGTATGCAGAATGCTGTTTCGGGATGGTTCAGTTCCTGTATTGTTCTCCTGGTTGAGGGCCATGTTGAAAGGAACTGGTTTTTTCGTCATATTGGGTTGTATGGGTTCCAGGAACATCGTCGTACACACGAAATCACGGCTAGTATCAAACATATAGGTCAACATGCTGCACACTGGGGAAAAGGGGAAACGGCTCACTTGGC